CCTTTAATCCATGAATGTTTTATTACATTGATAGATTTTCTTATGTTGAATCATCCTTGCTCTCTGGGGACAAATCAATTTTACTTTATTTAGGCTTTTTGCATATATGATCATAAGTGGAATTGATATATAATTTTATTTACTGGTTCTGGACACTCTCATCTGGTTTTGGAATTAAGGTCACACTAGCCTCAGAAAATGAGCCTTGCCCTCTTTTTACACTATTATTATTTTTTGGAACAACTTATATGAAATTATCTAGTCCTTGAAATGCTTTGTGTTTTAAGATGCCTCTGTAGGACAAAATGAGTGCAGAAAAGCAGTTAGATTCCATTGCAAAAGAAGGTAGGCTACTGAGTAAAATGTGATGCGGTGAGTGTGGTAGTCAGAGGTTTCTGAAGAATAACATTTGGGGGAATTTTTTGGCAGAGACTAAGCTAGGTTGGACTAAGAGCATAACTGATTAACCATATCTGCAAAAGACATAGGTGTGCAAGATTGCCATGCATTTGCCCTTCCTGGAGTAGGGCCTGGAGGAAGAGGAACTCAGGAATGATGGGTGTATGAGATTATCTAGTCCTTGAAATGCTTTGTGTTTTAAGATGCCTCTGTAGGACAAAATGAGTGCAGAAAAGCAGTTAGATTCCATTGCAAAAGATGGTAGGCTACTGAGTAAAATGTGATGCGGTGAGTGTGGTAGTCAGAGGTTTCTGAAGAATAACATTTGGGGGAATTTTTTGGCAGTGACTAAGCTAGCTTGGACTAAGAGCATAACTGATTAACCATATCTGCAAAAGACATAGGTGTGCAAGAATGCCATGCATTTGCCCTTCCTGGAGTAGGGCCTGGAGGAAGAGGAACTCAGGAATGATGGGTGCGGAGATACAGGGCTTGGAGCGGAGGGTGAGTGGTTGGGAGGGGAGATCTGAGCAGGATGATGGTGGGGAGGGGATTGGCACAGGCATGTAGTGGGAGTGCAGATTTAGCCCTTAAATGCAGTGTTCAAAAACAAATTTGAGGGGCCGGCCTGTGGCTCACTTGGGAGAGTGTGGTGCTGACAACACTAAGTCAAGGGTTAGGATCCCCTTACCAGTCATCTTTTTTAAAAAAAAAAATAATAATAATAAATAAATTTGAGGCCGCTGGTACCACCAAGGTCCAGGGTTCAATCCCTGTACTGGTAAGCATTAAAAAAAAAGAAAAGAAAAGAAAAAAAATTTGAGCAATTTCTTGATAAGATTCAGAGAGTTTGCTTATCTTGAAGAATTGGATGCTGGCCACATGAGACCTGAATGAGTTTGTACAACGCTGAGTTAGAGCTGGGTGGAGGTTGCCTGCATCAGACAATGCTCGAGGCTCCTATAAGCTGAAGTCCCCATGAAGTCCACTTCCTCCTGGCCCTTGAGGACCTTTGTGTGATTTTTGACACCTCTGGGATGGGGTAATGGGATATTTGCGTGGCATGTAGATGTCACCCCTTGTTCCAACTCTGTGGACTTAATGGTGATTTCTGGAGCACTGTATTGCAATGGATTCTGAGGCAGAATCCTCAGTAGCTGGAGGGCGGGGGTCCCAGGACACAGAGATAGTACCTAGGGTCAAGGGTCACCCAGTCAAGGAGAAATTGGCAAGAGTGTTTGCCTAGTGGTCCCCAGGACCTCTACCCCAGGAGCATGGGGCAGGTACAGTCCTAAGCCTCGCTGTCCCTCAGTTTTCCAGGTAGATGGTGAGAATTCTGCCGGGCAGACAGGGTTCTTCCTTGTGGTGCTGCTGGGCCACAGCTCTGCCGTGCCGTTCCTGCTGGCCTTTGGTGCCAACACCAACCAGTGAATGGACAAGTGATGATGCTCCCACATTCCCAGGGCCCTAAGTCTGAGCCCCAGAGAGCCTGAAAGCCAGGGCTCTCTTCTCTAGAGCCCTCTCTCCCTCATGTTCCTCTTCCATCCCCTGAAGACCCTCCTTGTCCTCTCTTCCCCCAATTCCATTCTCCTGGTGCTTCGTATGCTCACAGTGGTACCCTCTCATCCTCTCAAAGATCCCATTGTGTCCACTCATCCTGATATCCACCTCTCATATTTACAGTGACCCTTCCCATTCCCCAATGCCTTCATCCTGCCACTTTTTGTCCCTGTTCTGTCCCTTTTCTAATCCATTCCCACCCTCATTTTTCTGTCATAGCCGCTGCTTTGATGGCAGCACACCAGTGCATGCAGGTGTGTTTTCAGGCTGCAGCTTGGTGATGCTGCACCTGCTGCAGGTGGGGGGTGACCTGTGTCTGCATGACCAGCAGGGTCGCACACCTCGAAACTAGGCTGAGCAGGGTGGTGCCAAGGAGAGCTGGGAGGTGAACAGAGGCCCAGGTTGGGGTGGGGGCATCAGGGCCAGCACCCCACCCAGCCTCATCCCACATGCCCCTATCCAGGTGCTGGAGTGTTACAGCTCTGCCACACCAGCATTAGTGCATGGTGGTGAGTTGGCACCTACTGCATCTCAGAGTCAGTTGCAGGCCAGATCTAGGTGCAGCCTGTGTGGCTCCCTGTCCTCACCTCGGCTGGTGCAGGCAGACAGGTAACTGTCCACCCCCTGAGGCCCTCCCATGCACCACACCTAGCTACCCCATACTTATCCTCAGCCTGCCCTTTATCCCAGGGCACTGAAGCAGATCAGGAGATCCCCCCAAATCCCGGCCTTGAGGTTCAGCCAGGTAAGCAGGAGAGGTTGGGGGAGCGGGAACCACCCCTGTCCTCTTCATGCCTCATGGTCCTACTCCCCATCCCCAGCTGAGCAGCCTGTGGCCACTGGGGCTGGTAACAGGCATAACCCTTGCAGACCCCAAGGAGCTACAGCCAGCCCAGGGCGAGCCTGACCGCACCTACGAGAGCAGCTCCCACACCCTCATGGCCAAGCGAGAGCCCCCTCCCATGACCTTGCAGAGCCCCCTGCCTGGCTGTCCAGTCTAGCTCTCCTGCTCCCCTCCCAAGGAAGCCCCCCTGGTCTCAGACCTGCACTCTCTCCTCTCCCCATTCTCCAGCCTCCTGTGGAGGGGGCACCATGTGACCATGTGGCAGCTAAAGGCCCCTAAAACCCAGCCTGATGTGCTGTTGGCTGACCTTCGGCACTGCAGGTAACCCTAGCCCGGCTTCTCCCCAGCCCAGCCTGGTCCCATAGACCAGTCTTCTGCCTGCCTTGCCGACTTCTGTAAACAGAAGGTCAGGGATTATGGCAATAGCCATAGTTAGCGTCTTCACTTCTGGGCCAGCACCTTGCATGGAGCCCCTCTGCTGGAGGGATACCCCCACTGGAAGTGGGTACCCAGTTCTGTGTGTTGTGTCCTGTGGGTCCCAGAGAAGAGGTGGGTGAGGGCAGGGGTACCATGGGATATGAACTGGATGCTGGCTTTACCACTGCTGGGCTGTGTGGCTTGGGGTCTCAGTTTTTCCTCTGTCCGGTGGCTGGTGCAGATCATCTGTCCCTGGCACGTGGTGGGTGGTCTGTGCCCAGGAGCAGCCCCTACCCTCTGTGGGTTGGGCCCTTCTCGTGAGCGGCCTGCTCTCTTCCTGCCAGCACCATGCACCTCCCCAACCTATTGCTGCTGATGGCCCTGAGCCCTGTGGCAGATCTGTCGGGGCTGTGCCTACTCTTTGAGCCTGTGTGGCTAGACTCCCTGCATGTGGTGCTGCACCCACGGAGACCAAGTAAGAAAAGGCCCTGAAGTATGCTAGGCCTGCTGCCTGGCACTTGCTGCTGCAGGTGCTAGAGGCCCTGCTGTTCTTGCAGGCAGGCTGGCATGCTCACGGTGGCCTCAGCTCCCATGCTGTGTGGCTGGTGTGGCCAGGCCTGGCTAAGGTGGGCAACCTGAAGCACGGGCGCCCACTGCACCAATGCTGTCTGTGGCCCAGGTGAGTACCTGCCCCACCTCCCTGCCTCCACGTCCCTGTCCAGCAGCCACTGACTCACCAGGCCTCTTGGGTTCCACAGGCTACAGCATAGCTACCCCTGTGGAGGCCCAGACCCAGGGCTGCCCCCGCCTCCCAAACTGTACCCATGGCTGCCACTTGAGCCGATTTGCAGTGACATGCCGCTGCCACCTCAGACCTCTACAGCTTTTGCATCCTGGCCCATGAGGTCTTCACTGGACAGTGAGTGATGCTACATCTTGCCCCACTGAGGCATCCCACCTGTTTGGGTTCCCTAATTGTGCGTCCTCGCAGGAAAGCTGCCTTGGGCTGGGAGAGAGGGGTCTGAGGTAAAGGCTAAGCTGGAGGCAGGTGAGAGTCTGGCCCTGGGCCCCCTGGTGCCAGCCCCCTACCAGGCCCTTGTTTGGGTTTGGCTGGGCTTAGGGCTTGCTGACCATAGGGACAGCCTGCAGAGCACTTGATACCTGTTGTGGGAGGCCATGGCCCAAGTACAGGACAGGTCGGCGGGGAGTGAGTGGTAGCCATGTAACCCGAGTCAGGGCCCATGTCCTCGCACTCAGCCTCCTTTCCACAGGACTCAGCTCAGATGAGCTCCCCAATGGAGTGGGCCACACTGTCCCCTGTACCCCAGGGTTCCCTACCAGGTTAGAGGGCACGGAGGGAGTGATGGTGGGCACTGGGCACAGCTCAGTTTGTACCCCCATTTCAACCAACTGGTCTGTCCTCCAGAGAAACTGTACTATGAGGTGGCTCCCAGAGCCAAGACCACACCCAGATCTATACCCCTTGTGATGCCCCCAGGCTCTGTTTCATCCCAGGTAGGAAACAGGGCAGGGATATGGGGGACCAAGGGGGCTGTGGGGCATCTGGGAAACCCATGCCAACTCTCTGCCTTTTTTCTCTGCAGGTCCTGGAGACTTCTGAGGTCACAGGCCACAGCAGGGCCCAGAGGGGCACAGCCTGGAACTCGGGCAGCAGCCCCGGTCCCAGCCATAGCCTCACAGCCAGAGGTAGACTGCACTGCTACCTAGAGCCCAGCTCAACAGTATGGATACCTCCAGATCCCTGTGAGATCATCCCATCACTACCCTGTGACCCCCATCCCCCAGTAGTCACCAACTCCAAGTTCCCCTGCCTGCCTGTCCTCTGACCAGGGACACCTAGGAACTCCCAACTGTCCCTTCACTGATCTATAACCCCTAACCAACCCCGCTTCCCTCAGGACTCAGCCTACCTGCTGGGGACCCAGAGCTCTGGAGCAGTTTGAGAGGACGTTCTCAGCCAAGATCCAAGCCCTGCAGGGCTGCTGTGGCACACACAGGGCTACCCTGCTAGACCGCAGCCCTGTGAGCCCACCCTCTGCCTGGTGACCCACGAGGAGGCTTCCCACACCCTGGGAGGCTGCTGGCAGGGAAGGCCAAGAGGGCAGGCAAAGCAGAGGACCCTGAGCCCATCCTGTGCCCCATCCCACCCTCCCAGTCCCACTTGAGCTCTGGTGGCCACTGGATGGCAGCTCCAAACTTTTTCTCCTGCAGGCACCCAGGAGCTGATTGGAGGAAGTCTCTTCTCTAGCCTGCAGAAGTGAGAAATGGTGCCCTAGAGGGGGAACCCTGGCCCCTTCCTCATCTCTTAGGTGACCCTAGGTCTACCCCTACCCCACTATTCTTCAGGATGGATATGCTGGAGGAGATCATAGCAGAGCTGCAAAGTGGATACCAACTCAGAGACAAGCCCTGCCTCAGCCTCATTCCTGACACAGATTCCTAGGGTGCCCACGGTCCCCTCTATATAGATATTGCCCCTCAGAGCCTTCCAGGAGTGACTCCCTACTCAGTGCCTGCCCCAAAGGAAATAAAATGATAAAGCAACCCATCTGTCTCTGTTTCTCCATTCACTGGGTCTGGCCCCAGCATGATACCAACAGCCACATTTTCACCATTTTTATTCGTTAATTTTGTCAGACGGTTTAGTGGGGAGAGATGGGCAGGACTGTCCCCCCTACCCCCTCTGCTCAGGTCAGGACATGCTGGGGGCTCCTGGAGGGTGAGGGAGGACAGGGTGTCAGCCTAGCCCTCTCTCAGAATTGTGCGAGGGCCCCCAGGATGGAGGATGGGTATACCTTCAGCCCAGGGTAGGGAAGCTATGATTATAGGTTAGGGACCCACATCAGAAAGTTACAAGGTTAGAAACCTGGGGTAAGGGTCAGGAGCTCAAGAAAATACAAAACAAAGGATTGGGTTGGGCCAAAATACAGTAAGGGCAAAGGGAAGGGAGAAAGGTCCCTTCCAGCTGTAGCTCAGCAGTAGCTTCGGGTCTGACCCTCGGAGTGGAGGGACCAGCTAGGAGTGGGGTAAGGGGGTGGGGGACCAGCCCCCTCCCTTCTTTGTCCCCCATTTCTGTACAAGGATCCTCGGTGGAGGTCACCCCCCCTCCCATAGGCTGGCGGGGCTGCCCTGTAGAGCAGGAGAGGTTCAGGAGGGCCCCAGGGCCCAGGCACCCTATGAGGGGTGCGGGGGCCCCAGGGTGCCCGCTGTTTCTGAGGGAGGCGGGGGGCTGGGGGGCCAGGATCTGAACGGCTTCGGGGGTGGGTAGGAGGGGAAGAGGAGCAGGAAGAGCTGGGTGAGGGACCCCTGGGCCCTAGGGCTAGGTTGACATAGAGGGGCTCAGGTCGGGTGGGGCGCCGGGCAGGGTGCTGGGGAGCTGAGTAGCCAAGGTGGTCAGGGGGAAAGCAAGGAGAGGGGGGTGGGTAGCTGAGCAGGAAGTTGGGAGACCTGTGGAGTGGTGGTGATTGGCCAAGCATGCCGTATGAAGCATTGAGCCTATTGGGGGGCATGGAGCGAAAGGGACTCCAAGACCGCGTGGGTCCCGAGTAAGGGGACCCTTCACCCGCCCCAATCTCATAGTATAGGTTCTCTCCCCTGTCGAGGGGTGCAGGGGGCCCCAGGGAGCTCCTCCAGACCGAAGCTGGGGAGCTGGGCTGGAGGGATGGAGGACCCGTGGGATACAGGCCTGGTTTGGGGACCCCGAGGAAGGGTGGCAGGCACTCTCGGGGGGCTGGGGAGAAGAAGCCAGGGGTAGGAACTTGTGAGGGGACAGAACATGGGGACTGGGCTGCTGTCTCTGGTGCATCTCGGCAACCCCCACCTGCCCTGATCTGGGCACTGACCTGGGCAGAGCCTCTGAGTCCCCTCCTTGATGTCCCCATGGGCTGCTGGCTCCTCACCAGGTTCCCATCACTTTGTTGCCTTGGTACGTAGGGTGGAGGTCCTGGGGCCCAGGCACCTGGGTGGGCTAGGGAGTGGGGGGGTGGCCCACTCCCTGTGGTCCCCAGGGGTTCCCTGCCTACTTCCAGAGATAGTGAGTGGCGGAAAGGGGAGTGGGGAGCAGGTGGGGTGCCCCCATGCTCCTGCTGGCTCTGCTGTTCGGCCACCTGCTGAGCCCGCTCAGCCAAGGCCAGGGCCATGAGGCGTGCTGGGTTCTTAGGGGGTGGGGGTGGGGCCCCCCCAGGGCGCAGGAGGGACAGAGGTGGTGGAGGCAATGGTGAATCCATCCTAGGACCTACAAAGAAAGGAATGAGAAACGGAGTCAGCTGGGTCATGGGCAGCCTTGGGGTCTGTGGAAGTGTGGGGTGGGCTGAGCAGGACTCACCATGCTGGCTCTGGGCTCCCCGGGGGCCAGGCAGTGCCAGTTTGCTGCAGATTTCCTGTTGGCAGGTGTCACTCAGTTGGGCCTCGGCTCCACGAAGCAGCAGGGGGATGAGATGGGGGCGCAGGCCTGGGCCGGGGCTGAGAGCTGGTGTTGGGGAGACTGAGGCAGGTGTTCCCCCAGCCCCCAGCAGTTCTAGGACAGCGGGTGGCACTGATACAGCCAGGGGCTCTGAGATGTCCAGGGCAGTAGGTGAAGCAGGGCTGGTGGGCCCATGGGGCGAGAGGGCCTGGGGGGTTACCCTGGGTGGAAAGGCAGAGGCAGGGGCCGGGGGAGCTGGGCTGGCAGGAGGCGCAGGGTCCCCTGGGGTGGGGCTGCTGCAGCGAAAGGTTAGGGGATCAAAGTCGAGGCCCCGGAGTCCCTCCAGGCAGCGGGGAGGGCTGAAGTCCAGCTCATCACCATCATCTAGCCAGGCTGAAGTGCGGTGCGAGGGGGACCCAGAGAGTGCCCCCAGCCCAGCTGCTGAGGACTCAGAAGATGAGGATGAGGAGGATGAAGAGGAGGATGAAGAGGAGGAGGAGGAGGACAGGCTCTCACAGGAGCCAGCAGGTGCCGGACCCACAGGGAAAGCATCACTACTGGAGTGGGGTCGCCGTAGCCTGTGCAGTCTCTGGAGGCCTAGAAGTGTGGGGATGAGGACAGTTAGAGATCAAGGGTCAGAACCTTACATCAGTAAGGACAGGGCACACAGCTCAACAGAAGGTTGGGGAAATAACACGAAGAGGCACTTGCCTGGAAAGGGCACAATAGCTATGAATCACGGGTGATAAGGCAAAACCGTGAAGAGAACCATTTCAGATACAAAGCAAGAATGGTCTGGCAACCCCATGGGCTCTGAGCATGAGACCAACAGGATCTCAAACACGGCTGCTAGGAGTACAGATAGGACCACCACTTCTAGAAAATAATTGGGCCTTGTCCTTTACAGTTGAATGTGTGCATCCCCTATAGAATAGTACCTCCACTCCTGGGTATGTGGTGGAGCAATCTCTCAGGAGTGTGGATATGGCAGGAATTGCTCATAAGACCACCCAAATCTATCAGGAATAAGATAGTTAAGCAACTCACTACGGGATATCCACACACAGAATACTACAAAGCAATGGAAAGGAATAAGCCTGAGCTGCACTCAGCAACATAAATGGTAGTTTGTAATGTAGTGGTGAGTAAAAAAGTCAAGTTGCACACACAGCATAATACCCCCATTCTTATGATACCCTTTAAATAAAGTGTCTTTTTTTTTTTTTTTAAAGATGACCGTTAAGGGGATCTTAACCCCTTGACTTGGTGTTGTCAGCACCACGCTCACCTAGTGAGCTAACCGGCCATCCCTATATGGGATCTGAACCCGTGGCCTTGGTATTATCAGCACCGCACTCTCCCGAGTGAGCCACGGGTTGGCCCTAAATAAAGTTTCAAAAACAACTATAAGGCTGGCTGGTTAGTTCAGTTGGTTAGAGCGTGGTGTTAGTGCACCAAGGTCAAGGGTTTGAATCCCCATACTGGTCAGCTGCCAAAACAAAGTGACTACAACTGAGCAATGTTATTTACACATGCACCTGTATATGATAAAACCTAAAAAGCGAATGATGACTTTCAAATTAAGAGGATGCCTCTGGTGGGGAGGCAGCAGGTGGAAGAGAGGAGGAACTAACAGGTAAGATGCTGGGGCTCTTCTATTTCTGGCTAATGGGCTTGGGGGTTCATGATATTATTTAAAACTTTTTTTCAAAAGGAATGAATAAATAAGACTGTTTTAAGGGCCCAGCATGGGCCAATGAATAGTGTGTAATGGACCAAAGGTGATACTTTATCCAACCCACTGTACCTAAAGCCCAGACTAAAAGCTTTTAAAACACCAGGACCCCCAAATTTGAAGTACAATATTTGCAGGCCAAACCAGGGCCCCAGTTTCTCCCAGCTCCACTTGGGTACAGGTAGGGGCCTCCCTGTACTCACCAGCCCCACTGGCTTGTGATGATAGAGATTCCTCACTCTTGGCAGATCTCAGTGTGACTGTGTCAGGTCGGCTGCCTGCAAGGAGAGGAAGGAGCCATAGGAGAGGTAGGAGGGCACTCCACAGACCACACACCCCAACCATGCCAACTACACGATCTCTGACCTGAAGGCTGTGGTGTGGCGCGGGTGCCCCCCAGCCAGGGCAAGGGCTTCTTTCGGGGGACACTGGGGCCCCGGCCCAGTGCAAAGAATGTCTTCCAGCTGCTACCCCCTGGCTTCCGCTGCTTCTCCCCTCTCTCCCCTTTTCTCCTGAGATGTAGGTGAGAAATAGGAGGAAGTCTGAGGAACCAGGGCCTCCAGGCTATCCCTTCCCCTCCCCCAGCATCCCACTCACCTTTTCACAGGTGAGGCTGGGGCCTTGGGAGTTGTAGGCTCAGTGGGTGTCCCCAGCCGGCCCTGGGTGCGAGCCTGGGCTTCCTCCAATGTCAGCAGGCGAGTGGAAGGGCTGCTGCCAGCAAGGGATTTGGGCCTGGGGAGGAGGCAGCGGCCTGAAGAGTTCAGAGAGGGGCAGCTATCAGCTCTGGGGCCACCTAAGGCCACAGCCAAAGCCAAGCGCCACAGCCCAAGCCCCGGCCCCACAGCATGCCCACCCGGGCTGGCAAGGCAGGGGGCCAGGGTGGATCAGGCAGGAATGGGTGGGCAGCAGGCAGGTGAGGAGGAGGGGTGAGGCAGAATGAGCTGATGAGGAGGCAGCTCCCAGCAGCCAGCGAGGGCAGAGGCTCTGGCTTCAGTTACCTCGGGCCAGAGGGCCCTCCGACGTGCTGAATCCTGACTGGGCTGGGGTCCGGGGCAGGGCAGGGAGTCTGGGCAGGGCCGGGGTGGGGTCAAGTCTGGGGACCTCCCACCTCCTCCCAGGTGGACCAATGGCCCCAAGGGCCCCCAGTAGCTACAAGGGGTGAAGGAAGAACGGCGTCCGGGCCAACAAGTGGGGATCTTGAGCGTAGGAGCTGAAATGAGAAGGAGTGGGGGGGCGCGGGGAGGGATAGGCCGGGGCGGGGTCCTCAAGAAGCCAGGAGGGAGGTCCACCTTCAGTGGGGTAGGGATAGGGCTGGGAGCCCACCTGCCCTCCCACTGCAGCCCTGACAATGAGGGGGCAGTAGCCTGGACATCAGGGGGCGGGATGGGCATACCTGCAGGATCAAGGCCAGCAGAGGTGAAGGTGTCGCTGAATAGGACGTCCACATGGGTGAGCAGGAATTCCACCACCACCGACTGCACCCGTACCTCCCGGAAAGCTGCCGCCCCACCCAGCCCTACTGACTCCAGCTCCATGGACCTGGATGGGAGGAGGGGAAGGGAGGCCAGGTGCCTTAAGCCTGGCTGGCAGGTTCTGGCTAGGCAATGTCGGGAGCCAGTAGAAGAAATGACTGCTATTCAACACCTCTGACCTCCTCAAATGGATCATGTCTAGAACTGGCTTCTCAACCTTTCCCAAAACCTCTCTACCTTTCCTATCTCAGTCAATACAGTTCTACTAGCTCAGGCCAAACACCTCGGGGTTGTCCTTGACCCCTCTCTTTCCCTCATGTCCACATCCAATCTGTCACAAACCATTGGCCCCACTTACAAAATCTATCCAGAATCTAACTTTTTGACCGCCTCCACTGATCTCACTCTGGTTCAGCCTCCACCCCCACTAACCTGGACATCCCAGCAGCCTCCTCCCTGGTCTCCTGTTCCCATTCCTTTCCCCAGTCTGCTCCCACCTGAAGCCAGAGGGATCCTGTGAACACCTGAGTCAGGTCAGGGCCTTCCTGGCTCAGAGCTCTGCCCTGGCTACACCTCACTCCAGGTAAGAGTCAAAGTCCTCATCATGACTCATGACCCGTAAGTCCTCCCTCTGTCTGATCCTCCCTCACCTCTCTGATCTCATCATATCCTCCCCTTCAGCTCCTTCCTCCATCCCTCACTCAGCTCCAGCCACAGTGGCCTCCCTGCTGTTCCTCCAACACCCCAGGCACCATCCCAGCCCCAGAATTTTGCACTTGCCTGGTTTGCTCCCTGTGCCTGGTTTGCTCCTCCCCAGATGAGCACATGGGTCCTTCCCTCACCCCCTGCAGGTCTTGACTGAAATGTTATCTTTTCAATGGAGTCTTCCCCACCCACCTTATTTAAAACTGTAAGTCTTCTCTGTACTCCTGGTCTTGCTTTTCTATTTATTTTTCCCCATACTTCTTATGCCCACCATCTTACATACTATGTATTTTACTTATTTACTACCTATTTCTTCAGAAGAATGTGAACTCCTCCAGGACAGAGATCTTGCCTATATTGGTCACCATGAAATCCTTCAGGGCTTACTCTGCTGGTGGCCACAGAAAGACTTACTGAAGCCTTCGCTGCCCTTTACCTAAAAACTGCAAACTGCCAAGTCCCTGCACACCTCCCTTCCCTACTTCATATCTTCTTCCTTGGTGCTCATCACCATCACACATTAGTCTGTATTTTTCTTGTTGATGGTTCATTGTCCATTTCCTGCATGAGAACGTGAGCCCCAGGAGGACAGGGCCTTGCTCACTACTATGTCCCCAGTGCTGAGAACAGGGTCTGGTACATGGGAGATACTTGATAAGTATGTATTAGATGAAAGAACAAGAGAACAAAAGTTGGGTGAGTTCCTGAGGTGTTGTGGGGTGAGACTTGAGGCCCACCCTGTGGGAGGGAGCTGAGGAGCTGAGGTGAGCGTCCAGCTTACCGTAGAAGGTTGGGTGCCCAGACAATGGCCAGGTTGCGGGCATGCATGCTGGTGTTGGCACTGTGTCTTGCCATGCGGGCCAAGTGCCTCAGCAGGTACTCCAGGGTTCTGGGGGTGGGAACAGAGGGGGACACCTGAGCCTAATTTACCTAGGAACCCCACCACAGCCCTTCCTTTTCTCTCCTGGTTTACCTGTAATGTGGAGGGGGCAGCTGCTGGATGACATCATGGACCCGTACCAGGCGTTCCTCCTCCCCAGGCACTGACATGGCCTCCTGAGATTGTGAACAGGCATGATGGGTGCTGGGCCAGATGCACCCCAGCACCTTCCATCCTTGCCAACTTCTTGACTTACACTGAACTTCCCATAGAGCTGGTAGGTGAGCAAGGGGTTCGGCAGCTCTCGGAAGTAGAGCTTGCAGAGGGAGGACACGCTGTGGATGTCCTGCAGGAAGGCGGGGCCAGACAATTCAGGGATCCTCTCGCTGTCAAACTCATGCCTGAGCCCACCATGTCAAGGAGGAGGAAGGTTCAGGTCAGAGCTGGCTCACCTGGCCAAGTCCCCCTTCCCCCCACCCCCAAGTGCCCACAGATGGATGTAACCCTCTTCCCCAGGTCCTGTGCTAGGCTCTTCAGAGACAGAACCTTACTGAATTCCCCAACAACCTGGTGTGCCAAAGACAAGGGTGCCCCACTTTACAGAGGAAGACACTGAGGCTCAGGTGGGAGATGCCTCTGCCTGTAACTACCCAAGGCTGTCTGACTCCAGAGTGTGACCACACTCCCACCGTGAAGTTGTGTCATTCTCCTGGCTTTAAGAGGTCACTGGAAAATGCAGATAAAAATCTCAGCACTCCCCTGCTTGCAGGTAAAAGCTCCTACCCACCAAGACCTTGTGCCTTGTCTCACTGCTCCCCCAAGCTCTGTACCCTCACCTCACGGCCTCCTGTCAGCCCCTTGCTCCTGCCTCATTCCTCCCACCTGTAGACTGTTATAAAAGTTGACCCTCCTTGGCTCAGAATCCTCCTGGGGTTCCCCCTCACTCACAGTAAAAGCCAAATCCTCACAAAAAGACCCTGCACATGCTGCCCTCCTGCTTTCCCCTGTGCACTGGATGCTTCCTCTACTGTGAACAATTTCCACGGGATATTGCATGGCCTGCTCCCTTACCTCCTCCAGAGCTCTCCCCCAAGGGGCCTCTCTGCCCATGCTATTTAAAATGGCAATACTCCTTTCTGGTTTATTGTTATGATCCTCCTTACCCCAATCTGTTTTTCTCCATAGCACTTCTCACCTTCTAGTAAACTATCATTTCCTGGTTTGTCTCTCCTTCTAGAATGTGAGCCCTATGAGGGCAGGGGTTTCTGGTTGTCTCATTCACTGCTGTGTCCCCAGTGCCTAGAATAGTGCTTGGCACGTTGCAGATGCTTAGTGAAGGGTGATCCCTCTGCTTAGAATGCTAACTCTACTCTCATCTTTCATGGCCTCAGCTGAGGTGTCACCTCCTTAAGGAAGCCTTCTCTGATCTCAGCCTTGGTCCACCCCTGCTCTATGCTCTCCTGATTCCTGAAAATTGTGTCCCCAGCACACGGCATTGGACTGGAATAGAGATGATGCTCAGTAAATGCTGTGGAAGGAAGGGTTGGTGGCAGGCCCTCACCGCAGCCTCTGTATGTTGGAGGACACGCCTGAGAGCCGGTAGATTCCATCTACCACCCCGTGGGCCTCAATAAACTCGGAGCAGCAGCGCAGCACCTGGGGCACTGGGAAAAAGTGCAGGATTAGGGCTGGGAAGGTCGCATCCTAGGTGGGAGGGTGGGCAGGTAGGCCCAGGCCTTACCGTCCTGGCCTGAGTTGCTGAGGTGTTCTCCGAGGTCGCAGCCAAACACCCTCTGCCGCAGGATTCCCCGCTGCCTCAGCCGCTGCCGAGAAGGGCGGGAGCGCATGAAGGTGCGGAGGAGGCCAGCCAGCTTCCCACGTGGCCGGGGCACAGCTGTAAGGGCAAAGGCAGGCCACATAGGGTCAGGCAGACATAGGCCTGGTGGGGCAGGGGGGCAGGCACCTGACCCCTTGTTTCCATTACCTGAGGTCAGAGAAGAGATACCCTGGGGAGCTGGGATGCCACATGGGGAGCCATCAGCATCTGTGGGGTGAACAACGAGTGGAAAGGATAGATGGTAGGCAAAGGATGCAGGAGGACCTTCCCACTCTCTCCATGGCACTTACCCGCCTTTAGGCCTGGACCTGGCCGCTCTGTGAAGAGTTCCACACACTCACTGGGGAAGAAACCAACCTGAGGAAGAGTTAGGGTCAGTGGCTCGGCCACCCTAATTGGCATGGTGCCCTAGACCCCCTGTCCGCCACAAGCCAGGCTCACCTGGAAGCCTCGCTTGCCCCGCCACCAGCTCCGATCCTCTGTGGGTGGCATGTCGATCACTGAGACAATGTCTCCTACCTGGGAGTGGGCAGGTGGGAGGAAGGGGGTCAGAAAAGGCAGGGGAAGTGGGGAGCCCAGCTGGAGTCTGTTCCCCCACAGCCTCACCTCAAAGGACAGCTCATCTGGTGCCTGGGCTGTATATCGTTTGACCACATGGGCAGCAGCAACTGCAGGGATATTGAGCGAGGCCTCCTCACTGAGGAGTAGTCGCCGGCCGTGATTGTCCAGCTGAGATGGGGTCAGGATGTGGCAAGGAGAGGCCAGAGGTATTAAAAAAAGGCAGACAAGATTCCTCTGTGCCCAATGAGGCCACCACCTGTCCCCCACCTAAGAGGATTTGTCACCCCTCAGAGGTGTATTGGTGAAATACCTAAATTCTTGCCCCTTCCAAAACAAACTCCCTTCTTTCCCTTGACATGTCTCAGGACTCCCACACCCTCAAGTCATCCCTAGACAATCCTGCACCTTCACCCTCCATAGCAGACACCACACGTTAGCCATCTAAAAACCCTCTGGTTTAGCCAAGTGTTCTGTGAGTTACAGTTATTTCTAACTGATATACCTTTAAATTCTCACATCCCCACACTGGCTAAAACACACACACACACACACACACACACACACACACACACACACACACACACACACTTTCTCTCACAGGCATGCACCCACACAGACACTAAAATACCAATGCCTCCTCCACTCTGGCTCCTTTCTTTCCTGTGCCCACACACACTTCCAGGCTGGTTCTCACCCCTCAGACATGCCTCTCTCACTCCAAACTCCACATCCCTCTGCCAGTGCCCACCTCCATCCAGGTGAGCACAGGTCCACAGTTGAGGTTACTGTCCACTAGTCCTGACAGGGTCTCCAGGTACTGCAGCAGCAGTGGTACCAGCATCTGGGGGCAGGTTGTCACGGCGGGCTCCTGTGAGCAGACTCTGGGAGAACCTACTGCCCTCCCACACTGCCCTAGCTTGTCCCTGGGCAGGGCTGAATTTCAACCGGAATGCATGGGTGCTGCTCAGCTGTTAAGTGCTGAAATATTGTCATATCAACTGGTAAATAGACTGTGCTGAGCTCCTGAGTGCCCCTGTTGGTATGACCATGCTGACTCTTCCTGGAACCCCCTGGCCCTCCCCATGTTCCTAAAACTAAAGGAAGCCTCCTGAACCTTGCTACATTTCTAAGGCTTCTCCATTCTGATTGGTTGGGACTCAGGCCATGCCAGTGTTTAAATATTTACCTAACCCCCTCCCCCTGCCTTGATGGTTTTATACATCAATGATGAGGACACACTGATGGCTGAGGCAGGGGCTGAGACAACAAGCAGGATACCTGGGCAGCCCTGGTACCCTCTGGGGGTGGAGGAAGCTCTGGGAGGCAGGAAAACCTCCGGTCAAATATGCACCGGTGGAGGTGGGCATCCAGCGAACGGAAGTCATCATAACTACGGAGAACTGGCCAGGAACGGCCCTGTGGGAGCAGGAGGGACAGAAGGAAGCAGTGGTCCCACTACACTGAGCTGAGGACTATGATGGCCAGTTCCTCAGGCTAGGTGAGAGGCAGGGGAGGCCTCACCTGACAAGTCACCTGCACCCCAAACACCAGCTCATTCTCTCCAGAGAGGTTAGGACCTTCACGCTCTGGAGAGAGCAAGAGCTGCAAAGAAAAACAAAGGCCCATGTGAGGGCCTCGCTTTTGTCCCAGTCCTGACCTCTTTAGGCTGGCACTATCTAGGAATGGGTCTGTGTCCCCCTCGTGGGCCTCCCAAAGGACAGGGCCTGGTGATGTCTTGGTCAGAGTACAGGGCCCTGGCACGGAGCAGATATCTAATAAAAAGTTGTTGAATAAATAAAAGAACAATTGGATGAATAAATGAACAGCTTTCTCCATCTGCCCATGGAACTCCTGCTAGGAGTACTGACTGCTTAGATGAGTAGAACAGCCAGTCAGGGGTAAAACACAGCTGATACTGTTTCAGGATTGGGTAAGATCTCACTTTCCCACATGGGTGCAAAGCCCCCATACCTGAATGTGGCCGAAGTCTACATTCTCGTAGTGGAAATGGGCACAGTCGGCCAGCCGCGGGAAGGGACCTCGAGGAGCCGAGAGCCTGGGAGACAGGTGACACATCACCAGTAGCTCCTTGAGCCTTCCCCCTCCTAAGCTGAGCCTTTCCCTCCCTCACCCCTCACCTCTTCCCAGGCTTCCCCTTCACACTGGCCCCCCCAGCGGGGGGTATAGGCTGCACTGAGCCCTCCCCTGGGCCATCCAGGCTGTCAGTGCTGCGAGCCTGTAGAGCAGAGAGAAGAATCAGAGGCCCCCAGAGATGGGAGCAAGGAGACAACAGGAGCATTGTTATCTGCCAGCCTGGGCCTAGAGGCCCGGGTTGCTCCACACACTGCCTTGAGCATGGAGCAGTAGGGTAGGTCAGGGGGAGGTGAGGGCTGGGCCAAGGATGGCCTTGCTTCTTCGTGTGTGGTAAGGGTAGGAAACTGGAGGAAACAGGGACTAAGGGTGAGGTGGGCAACAGGAGAGAGCATGCTGGTCCCATCTCTCCCTGTTTAAAACCCTTTTGTACCCTCTGCAGAGTATAGTCACCTCCTACCAATGTCTGGACAAAGACAGCTTCCATCTCATCAGTCTTGCTGCTTCCAACCCCTTCCCTCCTGCCACCTTCTTCACAAAAAGAGCCAGGATCATTTTCACAAAACACAAATCTGGCCCTGTTCCTCCATGGATCCTGGACCTTCAATGGTTTCCTGTTGTTTTCAAGACAAATTCTGAATTCTTTGGTCTGATATTGAAGACTTCCCTGAGCTGGTTTCTGTTTACCTGTCCAGTCCCATCTCTCCCCATCCACCCCACTCAGAGCTCTAGAACTTCTAAGAGTCCAGCAAAAGCACCTTCTTCTCATTTCCTTCTACACCTTTTGGAAAGACTATTCCCTCAGCCTGGAACACTCATCCCTACCCTTTCACTAGGTTCACTCCTCCCCACCCCTCAGGTCTCAACTCACAAGTGCCATCTCCAGGAAGTTCTCCCTGACCCTTCAGGCTGTGTCAGGCATCTATCTCTTCTGTATTCTCTCCATCCTGTGAGGTTCTCCCATCCCATGCTCCATAACTCTGCCTGAGCTTCCCTTCATCACAACCTTGAGGACTCGGAGATGCCACTATCTGGTGACCTCCCCAGAGGCAGGACTTTAGGCTGAGACCCCAGCATGCCCAGCACAGCGCTGGGCACAGAGTTGGTGCTCTTCAGATAGGATTGTGCCTGATTCTTCTCTGAGTCCCCAATGCCCAGTGCCAACCCAGTCACACAACAGGGGCTGGGTAAAATCTGATGTATAAATTAACCAGCTGCCAGGTGGGGATTCACCAGACTGGGCTCTAGCTTCTCCCTCCTCCACGCCCTTGTAACCCTGAGTTCATCCCTGGGTCTCACCCTCAGGGCCTTTCCCCCTCCAGCCCATGAAGCTGCCCAAGGCAGGATAGAATCTGACTCTGTGTCTGGAGCATGGGGCCTGCACAGAGGAGGTCTCAGTGAATGTTAAGTGAGGGAACGAGGGAATGAATGGGTGAATGAGCGAGAGCAGCTTGGTGGGAGAGGCCGACGGTGGGGGAGGGGAGATAAAGACAAGAAGATGGAGAGGACCAAAGGATCAAGCGAAGGTACAGCGCTGGCTTGCTGGAGTGCAGTAAGGAGGGGAGCGGCTGGAGAAACTAAGGTTTGGGCTGATGGAGGGCGGGATTGAGAGAGACTGGGATGGGGTGAAAATGAGGGAGAGAAGAAAAGGGTCAGGCTGAGGATGGAGCCGGGTGGGGGCGGGGCCCAAGAACGAGAAAGGGGCTGTCGGGAAAAGGAACGGGCTAGACTGGGGAGGGGCGAGGTTAGGACGAGGATGCTGAGGAAGGTGTTGGGATGGGGGCTGGAGAAGGACCACTCGGGTGGCACGGGACCTTCCCTGGACCAGCCCCTCCTCCTCCCAAGCCCCAGTCCTCGGCCACTGTCACCCCCATCCAGGGTGTGGAAAGAAGTGCGCGCTGAGGGGGCGGGGTCGAGGTAAGGGCTCAGACCCAGGACAGGTCGCGGGACTAGAAAGACCGCGACCAAGGGTGAGGGGCGGCGCAGGCCGCGGGCTCGGGCGGGGCCGGGGGCGGGGCGCGCGG